ACTGGGCGTCTTAGGTTCGATTCCACCTCTACACGCCCCCTCCCTTCCGGGGCCACAAGATACTCGCGTTGTGGTCCAATGTTTTGAGGCTCTGGAGTAGTCGTGCGACGTGCCCCACGTCTGTGGGGATAGGTTCCTGGGTGGTCGCGTCACCCTTCTGCTACGACGCACCGGTTGGTCCTCAACCTCCATCATTCCAGGGGATGCTGTGTCATCTACCTCCATCGGTTCTGGTAGAGTGTCGAATGTTTCGGGCTGGTTTTGATCCATATCAGTGGTGGACCATTCTCCCGGTATTTCGGGCCCTGTTGGGTTGTCTATGGTATCCAACATTCCTGGGGGCACCTCAGGTATCGAGTGGCAAGGAGTATCTACTACTGGGTTTATTTTTCGGAGGAATCTGCGATTGCGACGGGTTACCCGGTTACTCCCATCCATGCGTACATTATACTGCCGGTTACCCAGTGTTTCCACCACCCTTCCTGTCTTTGCCCATCGGCGCGGGTATGGACCAACTTGGTTCTGTATCTGCACCGTTTCCCCGATTTTCAGTTCCTGAAGTGGGTGACTTTTTAGATTGTATTCTCTTTCATTCCTTAAGTGTCTTTTTGCCATCGCTGTTTCCCTATAATGACTGATTTCTCTCCAGCGTTTGTGGATTCGATATCGGTCCTGGAGCACTGGGAGATGGTCCTTTATCACGCGACCGTAGAGCATCATCGCTGGAGACATATGTAGGTCTCGTACCGGGGTGTTGCGATGAGTCAGTAGGGACCTAGCTGCCTGGTCATGGCATAGGCGACCGCAACTGTCCGTGCTATCAACAAGTATCCTTTTAGCCGTTTTAACTGCCAGTTCTGCTCTCCCGTTGCTTTGAGGGTAATATGCCGATGATGTTCGTTTCCTTATGCCCCAATTATCTAGGAACCGGTTAAATTCACTGGAGTCAAACGGTGGTCCGCCATCGGTTGAAAGTTCCTCCGGTACGCCATACGTGCAGAACCAGTTTCGTAGGGCGTCACATGTAGCCTTGGCATTCCCGGACGACATCAGAGTGACTTCTACCCATCCGGTGTATCTATCTGCATATACTAGATAGTTCTTCCTCGTAAATCGAAGAAGTCCATCACAGTCTTCTGAAATGGGAACTCGGGGTTCGAGGGCGGCATTAGGGTTCCTTGGGTTGTGATGGAGCTATTACGTTGCATACTTTGCACTGGGCCCGGGTTTGGCGAATGCTCGCGTCCAGTCCTGGCCAAAACAGCCGCTGTCTAGCGTTTGCCAACATTCCATTGACGCCCTGATGCGCTGAATGGAGTGATTCCAGTACCTCCGCACGTAGCTTTCTGGGTATGAGGATTTTATTTTCCATTATCGTCACCCCTTCCAAGCAATATAACTCCTCTTTCATATGCCAAAACCGGCGAATTGTCTCCGGCAGTTCGTGCCGAGATTTAGGGAAGCCATTTTGTATGAATTCGGCGAGGGAACGGCATTCCTCGTCAGTAGCAGCTGCAGCCACAATCCTGTCCCATGTTATTGCTCTTAATTTAGGGTCCTGCTCATAGGTGGAGTTAAATGACGCTCTTATGGCGCTATCCATAGTTTGTGCGATGTCCTCTTCGTTTGCTTCCTCCTGGCTTAACGCCACTGGGCATCTCGATGTACAGTCTGGTGCCGCATTGAGTTTGCCAGGGAGATGCTTTATTCGAAATTTGTACATCAAGGACCGTTCTTTGAAGTTAAACAGTCTTGGGTTCTTTATGTCCTCCAGAGCTTTGTCCGAGAAGATCTTCACCAGGGGCTTATGGTCCACGGTGACTAACAGCTCTGGGCACCCCAAAACGAACATCCGGCATGCTTCCAGTCCGTAGACTAATGCCAATGCTTCTCCTTCCACTGGTGCATATCGGGACTCTGCGTCATTAGTGAATCGGGAGCCGGCCAGGATTAACTTCCAGTGGTCCTCACCACACTTCGGTCCAGCTTCGGTGGCACAGTTGCAGTGCTTCTGGAAAAGAAAATATCCTAAGCCTGTTTTGCTGAAGTCCGTCGACAAACAAGTTGGCCTATTCACTTCGAAGGTTCTTACACCGTTCTCGATTTCTTCTGTGATCCTTCTTTTCGACTCTTCGAAGATTCGATCGAGTGTGCTGTCCCAGTAGAACTTCCGATTTTTGTCTTTAGCAGCTCCCGGAACGGGGCCATTACCTCGGCCTGAGAAAAAGCGTAGGCTACCTGGTTTACCATTCCAAACCAGGATCTTATGTCAGTTATATTTTTTGGTGTCGGGAAATTCCGTATTGTTTCAGTCATTTTTTGGTGGGTTTTATCCCGTCTTCTGTTATCAAGAACCCGGCAAATTCCACCTCTTTTTTCCGCGAAGTGAAATTTCTGGGGTTGAATACGATACCATTTTTTGCTGCAGTTATTTATGTACTCTATAGTATGCCAAAATGATGATTCAATAGAGTTGTCCCATAGTATCGTATCGTCAATACATCTTGTTTTCCTGGGCATATCTACAGTAATATTGTCGAACCTGCGTGTATATGCGTCTCCTGACGCTTGGAATCCTTTGTGGTGCCCGAAGATAACGGTATCTACCCCATTCCGTGATGAAGGTAGTTGCATCTCTTGCCGATGGAGAGAGGGTTAGGCTATGATAGCCATTCCATGCATCCAAAACGGTTTTTCTAGTTTTCGCAGGCACCAGCGATGCCTGATTGAAAGGAGACGGTGTATGATGGGTTTCTCGTAGGGTAGCGGTGTTGAGCTTCTGTAGGTCCACCGTACGCCTCGGTGACCCGTCCTTTTCGGTGCAACCACCATTCTGGAGCACCATGTTGTAGGTGTACCCACTGGTACAGGTTCTATGATGCCCAATGCCACGTCTCGGTCGAGGTCCTCCTTGACTCTTTTCTTCCAATGGTGTGGGACCGGGATTGGGGTGTGGACAGCTGAGGGTTTGGCCCCGGGATGAACGTGATGTCCATGGGTTTTCCTTCCATCGCCTGCAGCCGTTGATGTGGGCATACATTGAATGCACTGGACTCAAAATGCTCCTTCATCCATCGTTCCAATCGGGGTCTGTTTTTTCTTCCATAGGAGCGAAAGGGATACTGTCCGGCTTAGGTGGGACATTAGTTCTTTGTGGGCACCCACATGGTGCCTTTCCGCCGTCGCTAGTTGCCACGTTCTGCTGGGAAGTTGGGTCTGGAAAGTTATCTGGCACCAGACCAAGGTCTTTTAGGGCCGACTCGGACAGGCAGAAATCTGATGTATTTTTTGATACATATATAATCTGACGTGTTTCCCGCGATCCTACTCTGACTTTAGCGAATATCACGCCTTTTATGTTTAGTAGGTTATCCGTGATTCCCCGAATTCGGTGACTAGTCGGTACTAGACATTTGTCTGGACACTTCAGAATTTTTGGATTTCTGGTCCGCTAGAGCATGTCTGTGCCCCAGTGTCTGCGATCGCCTCGATCCGGTGAGTATGGAGGCCAGCTTGTCCTATGGATATGTGCCCGAATTCCGCATGGGCCTCTGGAATCAGAGTTATCTCTACCATCAGGGTTGGTGCTGGATCAGGAGTACCTCTTCGGAACTTACTTTTGTTCCAAATCAGGTGCGGCACGGCCTTTGGTTTTGTCAGGTTGATTTCACCTCTCCTTTTCACTTGTCCATCTTGGACGATAATCCGGTTACGACCCTTCTTGTGTCTTTGGGTGGTGAGAGTTCTGGATTCTGCTCCGACCACACCCGCTGTAGATTTGTTGCTGGACCCCTGCTTCGGTTTCCTGCAAACCCCTTTTAAATGTCCGGTTAAGCCGCAATTGTGACAAGTCATCTTTGCTGCTGGGCAACCCCTTCGTTCATTCGAGCCGTCAGGGTGTGAGCTCTTCCCACACCATTTACAGGGTTCAGTGTCTCTCGGGGTTGATACGGTCTGGTTCTCCCGAGGCCGCTGCCTGCGGCCCGATCTCTGTGTGCTCGTTGTAGTAGGGTATACGTTACTATGGAGATGGGGTGTAGACTTGTCCGTGGTCTCTAGGCTGACAAGCCTGTTGAACTTTTTCTTCCAGTGTCGTAAGTGTCGCAGCCTCAGACAACACCTTGCTTTGATGCTCCAGGTTTGCCAGCCCAGCCACCATTTGTCCTGCTACCATATCGTTGGAGTAGCTGACTTTCCGACCGCATCCTATCCCGTTCGGACAAGTCACTGAAAAGTCGCAGAATTTTGCGACTGATCGAAGTCGTGCCACGAAGTCCGTAATCGATTCCCCCTCCTTCTGCCTTACGGGTGGAATTCTTGCCGGTACACTTCTTTGTGTAGGCTTCTGACGGCTACGAGCTTTATGTGTCGTAACAGCTCTTCCTCCGTGACGGAGTTTAGTACTTGCTCCTACTATATCGAACAACAGCCTGTTCACTTCTGGGGCACAGGCCGTTCTCAGCTCGTTTCTTAACGCTGTTGGCTCCGTCAACCCCACATCTCCTTGTATCTATTCCAGGAGTCAATGAATATCGCCCAGTCACCATAACTTGAGTCCGGTTCTATATTAGGTCTGTCGGGTCTCCTTGTAAGTGACTTTCTCGGCTGTCCTCCGTCTCTTCGCAGGGCGATGATCTCTTGCTGTAGCTCGATGAGCTGTCGAAGTAATGTCTGCTGTGTTTGTTCGTCCATATTCCAACGTTGTTTGTAGCAGGTTTCCTATATCGGCGACGCCATGTAAGGTAGCAGCGAGACGACCTGTATCTGCCTCGATCCTCGTTGCCGTGAATGTCTTGTTTAAGTAGCCCTCTCTCGCCTCTCATGTAAGCGGGCGAGTCTACTTCTATGGGGGGTGTGACGCCAAGACCATTCCGGTCTTGTAACTGGGCGTCTTAGGTTCGATTCCACCTCTACAGTCACATTATGTACTTTTGCATGAAGAACCTTTCTGCATGCTCTCGACAAATAGCCGAGTTTTTATTTCAGCAACCAAATTGGTAATGCTCCTGTTCGACGACAGTCAAGTTCCTGCTTCTTTGAATCTGCATAGGGACCAGTTGAGTCCTACAGAGAAGAAAAATACTACCACTTCTTTGAAGTAACTACCCCACCCTATTCACAGGGGCGCAAAAGGGCATAATCTTTTTTGCAAAGACGAAATAAAATTTGTATTGAATTTTAAGGTAGGCTTTGTTCGAATTGTATGTCTTATTCTTGTCTCTGCCGGGGTTAAACCGTGTGAGAAGAAATTCTCACAAGAAATGGCAATCTGCTGCAAGATGAATCGGCCGTTGGAGACACGCAGTTAGAGACCATACCTCGCATGGGATAATGAAAAAAAAATCGACAAGACGAGGGCATGTAACAATCTCAGATTATTTTTTAGGGTGAGCTTTTTATCTTTCCAAATCGGTTTCAAACATGTCATCACGTCTGTTGTCAATGCAATTCTATCTATAACTTCTGTCTTGCATCCATGTTAGTTGATGGTAGCACCAAGGTAATAATTAGAAATACATGAATATATATCGTATGTAAATAAAGTAGCAACAACCTTTGTAATCTTAGAGAAAGGTGGAGTAATGGTTAGCGGCTCGGATTGAGGAATCGAAGAGCCGAGTTCGAATTCCAGTCGAATCCATTACATTCATTTACCCTTGGGAAAGGCATGAATCCTCTTTTTCTCCTTCCTAGGTATGGGTAAATAGCAGGACAAACTGCGTTCTTGGATGGGAACTGGTCTGCTGGAAAAAGAAATGGTAACATACTGCGAGGAAAAAATCTGCCTCGTCAGTCATGTATCGAAAAATAAGCGTGTCTCTCACATGGCACATAACTGACTGACTGACTTTCCAGTCGGATCCATTACATTAACTTACGTGCTAATACCCTTGGGAAAGGCATGAATCCTCTTCTTCCCCCACTCCCCAGCTATAGGTAAATAGCAGGACAGACCGGCTTCTGGAAAAAAATCTGCCTCGTCAGTCATGTATCGAAAGATACATGATCGCCTAAGCGTGTATCACGCATGGCACATAACTGACTTACTGACTTTCTAGTCGAATCCATTATATTCACTTACGTGCTAATACCTTTGGGAAAGGTATGAATCCTCTTCTCTCCCCCCCAGCTATTGGTAAGTAGCAGGACAGACTATAGCATTGGATGGCAACTGGTCTACCGCTGAAAGAAATGGTAAACTACTGCGGGAAAAAAATTTGCCTCGTCAGTCACGTATCGAAAGATACATGACTAACGTGGCTGCGTTTCTTGATATTGCGCCTCAAACTCACCCCTGAACTCATGTGGGACTCGTTTATACGATCCATGACTTAAAGATGCAGGTAAAATGGTCAATTCACTGTACCACTCCAGTAAGTACCTGACCCCTCATGCTATTCTCTACCTTTATAAGGGCCAGGCTGAAAATGGGGTGCTGTCGCCATATTTGGGAGGGAGCTGCCCAGTCATCACTTTTCAGTCTAGATAGCGTCTCAGGTGACAAAATATTTTTCAACCTCTCTACTGCAGGCTGGATGTGGCAAGCTTCTCATTCCTCTATCGCTACTCCTATGGAAAGTGCTCAGACGAACTACATCCCTTGGTTCCGCCAGGTCTAATCTTCACGGCTCGGATTCGCCATACCACACACATTGTAGCAAACCCTCGACATTCTCTCCGTATTCCATTGGTAAGGTGTAGGTTACATTCGAACAGTTTCTTCTCGCGAACCACTGACCTGTGGAACCAACTCCCAAGCGGATGTTTCTCCGATCACTACAATCTTAACCTGTTCATGTCAAGAAGAATTATTTTTCTTCCTCCAACCTCTCTCTCACAGGTGGGGGTTTCTATCGCTACTACCATGGAAAGTGCTTGATTCAAAAATCGTACGACTCATACGGCAATCGCTATCACTTGACTTAAAATATTTTTGCCCTTCCTTTTTTTTTTTTTAAAGGAGTGCCCTTTGCCGTGCTGATGTTGCTACATGCCTTACTTCTTGCCTATCTCACACTGCGAATTTTTTCTAAGTTCTATACTAAACATTAAATCTGTTACGAAAAAAGAACTAAACAAAATGAACCCAAAACGATCAGTTTTAAAAAAGGACTCGTAACGGGAAAAACCGAATGAAAAAAGAATGTTAACAACAAATACTTTTTCACACCCAACCCAGTTCTGCGGAATCAGAATCAACGTTGATTTTAAGCAAGCAAATAAGCCAATTAGAGTAAAGTGCCATGCAGATTTAAATTTTTCCCATTTGTCACGAATGCAGCTATCGATTTTTTTTGCATGCTAACATGCTAGTTAACATTCATGTCAGTCAGCTGTTGGCTCTCACGGTGGCCAATAGAATCTTCCTGTCTATTCGTGGCAGCCAGCTATTGGCTCTCACTCTGGTCAGTACAAAGTAGCCGCAAACTACATGAAAACTGCCGTAGAAGTATGAAAAAAATCGATTATTTCCACTATCGATGGGAGTTGGGAAATGCAAAGTCGGTCCTGGCCTTTCCGCTAACTTGTAGCATGTGCATGTAAATTTTGGTGCCAAATCCGTCGAAAATTGCGGCCGTGCATTCGTTACACACACACACACACACACACACACACACACACACACACATCCTGCCTTTTATAGATAGAGATTTGCGGTAAAAAAAAAACAAAAAAAAAACTCGTGGTTGAAGCTTTTCCGGTGAGACCACAAAAGTCGTGGTTGGTGTCATCACAAAAAAAAAAAGAAAAAAAAAAGAAGCTTTCTTATGCGCCGTAATTAATAATATTTTATCGATTTTTTTTCTAACTATGCGATAAATATAGTCACCAAATATATTTGACATTTGCTGAAAAACAATGATCTAAAACTAGAAAGACCCGTGAAAATTTCCCGGTTTTCCTATTTAAATTTTTTGATGAAGCTTAATTCTTAACTCTTAAATTAATGATTATGGCGAATTTTACGGCAATAAAATATCCGTAGAAATTCCCCTATCGCATTGTTAAATATTTGTTCTTAACAACTTTAATTACGATAACAATTATGAATCTGAAGGCTGGTCGTTATTTTAAGAAGTGGGTAGAAATTGATTACCTTTTTCCATTTTCGTTCAACCCTTTTATCTTCCCTGATTTCTTTCTTTCTTTCTTTCTTTCTTTCTTTCTTTCTTTCATTTTCTCATTGAATGTAAGTAATGTTTTTCCCCTCTTTCCACGCGATCAAAACAGAAGAGTCCTTTGTTTATGAAGTATTGGCAAGAGACGCTTTTTTTTTCTTTCTTTCTTTCTTTCTTTCTTTCTTTCTTTCTTTCTTTCTTTCTTTTTCTTTCACTTTTTCTTTCTTTCTTTCTTTCTTTCTTTCTTTCTTTCTTTCTTTCACTTTTCTTTCACGTTTCTTTCTTTTTTTTCTTAATTTCTTTGACTTTTTCTTTCTTCTTTCATTTTTCTTTCTTTTCTTTCTTTCTTTCTCTCTTTTTTCTTTCTTTCTTTCTTTCTTTCACTTTTCTTTCACGTTTCTTTCTTTTTTCTTAATTTCTTTGACTTTTTCTTTCTTCTTTCATTTTTCTTTCTTTCTTTCTTTCTTTCTTTCTTTCTTTCTTTCTTTCTTTCTTTCTTTCTTTCTAACCAAATCCCTGTCTTACGAACATTTCTCTTAATAATAATTTTAAAATAATTCAGCAGAAGATGTTAATTTATTGATGGTAAGTGGATTTTTGGCGATTGCCTTACTCAGTTTCCGCCCTTCGATGCAGTGCGTCTGAACAATGTGGTCGATATGTTTTGGCTTTTGGCTCAGGGATGTTAAAATAATATTAAGCCCAAGCCTCAGGCTGTATCTCTACTTCGGGTGTGTGTGTGGGGGGGGGGGGTCTAGATTTATTGCCCGTTGCCTAGGCGTTTCCTTAGTGTACAGAAAAATATAATGGCTTCTCGTCTTTTTGGTTGAGATCAAAGTGTAGTATCTGTTCTTATCAGTTGAATCTGATTCCCTCACTCTCCACTTTTATCTCCCCCTTTTTCTTTTCATTTACTCACTGAAAGCAAATAATCTATTTTCCTCTCTTTCCATTCGATCAAAACACGGAATAGTCCATTGTTTAGGAGGTATTGGCACGGCGTAACGGTCGTGCGAATATTTAAAAAATAAACGAGAAATAAGCTTTTTTTGACTCCTCTTTCACTAACTGCGCCTTCAGGGTCTAACGTTTTTACACTGGCATGGAAAGTGGGACGATTGTATTGAACGAATTGCTAGATCTGCTTCTAGGAAAGTCAGTTCATTGCTAGAGAATTCTTCTCGTAAGAATCTTTCTTGCACATTTTTTAGTCGACGATTCGTCGCATAAGAATATTGCTTGCCAGATCGGGTTTGATGCATCTTTATGTATTCAGACGATTCGTCAAAGAAGAATCTGAATATTGATCTGCCATGCGAAGATATATGATTTGTTTTTTGACGGTTTATCAACCATTTAATAATTATTTAATGCCGAAAAATATTTTAGGTTTTAAGAATAATCTTTTTTTTTTTCAAGAGGATTTTACATTCAAGCAATTTGGGAGAAAGAAAGAGAAAACGAAAAAAAAAAAAAAAAAAAATACGAAACGGGTCATAGGCGAACACACACACACACACGGCTTAACGGAAATGGGGAGGAAAAAAAAAAAAAAAGTTATTTTGACAGGTATCAAATGTTGAAAAAAATATCATTTCAATGACAATGAGATTTGAGTGGGCGAGGAGGTGTCCGACGAAAAATGGAATTTAGGCCAATTGAAGTGTAACTAAGGATTGAAGACAAACCATTAATACGAAAACACAGACCACCGGCCAAAGAAAAAAAAAAAAAATGGAATTGTGTTTTCAAGAGATGTGACTAAAATAGAGATAATGGAATTGTTTTCAGAAACAAAGAAAAGTTTGAAAACGTTAATTTTTTGACAAAACACAGGTGTGGCTACAGAACTGTAGTTAGATATGAAAAATTAAAATCCCACACAGGCATTCTTACTGTTTTTTTTTTTTTGACAGAATAAAATTTTGCCCTTATAATAACATTTTGAATCAAACAAATGAATGGAATAACTGAAATATTTTTATTTCCTCTTTGGGAGACGACAATCTGACTGGAAATTGAGAAAATTCTTTTCTGAGGCCATGTCGGAAATCCAGCTGTCTGATTAATTACCGATAAACTGCTTGACAAACGCCACGTAAAAAAACAAAAGTTGTCATATTGTTCTGTTGGTGGCCATGATAACGGCGATTTGAAAGAAAGAAAAAAAAAAAGAGGAGAGATCATTAATTTTTTTTCTTAGTTAAGCAAAACAACAAAGCCACGGATTGTTCACGCCTGACTAAGACGTCATTGGTCAAGTGGTGATCACATGACGCACGAAGGAGGAGGGAAGATACCCGACCAGGACCTCATTGGCCGAGAGTGGTCACGTGACGCACGAAGAAAATCAGTCGACGCCCCTATCAGAAGTGTAAGTATGAGAAGCCGCTACGAAGAAGTGGGAAGTTAGTTCAGAAGCCCCCTCAGGGGAAGAGGAATGAGTAAGAAAATGGGAGTGAGAGGAAAGTTACCAAAATGGAAAAGAGTAAAAAATCCCTAACCAGAAATAAGAAGGGTGGATACATAGAATTAAAAAGAACCCCCACGCAGACAGACCCACCCCAGCCCCGGACGTCAATAAAAAGATTTGACCCCAACCAACAGAGAAGGGAGTTGAGCCCCGGACGGCAGAGTGGGCCAGGTTCGTTCAGACCCAGGCAGGCAGAGAAGAGTTCGTTTGGCCTCAGTGAAGAAGTTCAGTTCAGCCCCGGACGGCGAGAAGAAGTTTGAGTTCATTTCGGACCCTGGCGAGAAGAATTTTGAGCCTGGACGACAAGCAGAGATGAGTGCCCAGTGTTGAAACTGCGTCAAGATAGCTGACCAAGATTCACGCACAGTTTTTGACTCTTCTTCAACCAAGAACAATTAGTTTGAAGAGCGACTTAGAATCAGACCACAGAAATAAGTTTTTTCGACTTTCGTCCAAAGACACACCAAAACACAAATTTCTTAGAGAGCAGACAACTTGAAGCCTTAAAAGTTTGCCCTGGCGAAAGTGTCGTGCCACAATCCACAGAACGGGTCGGGAGTAGACAGTCCTATATACCGAACAAATAGACATAAAAAAGTTTGTTACCTTTTTCTTTGATACTTTGGACTTTTTGAGTTTTCATTTTATTTTTTTTATCCATAATTGTGTGTTATCACCCCCCCGTTGAACTCAGCTTGCATTACGGCCCCAATCCCTGTTTGATCTCGTCTGTCTAAGATCAATTCACAACGTGGGTAGACAGACTGGGGATCAGTGCAGTTACCCTGGTAACCAGGCGTTGAAGCAGATTGGGAACAGGCGAGGCTGGTATCAATCTAACCAGATTCCTACCCGAATCACCACAGGTTAGAACATCACGTAACAACTGGCGCCGGAGGATCAGGATTGAACGAACAGCTGGCGCTGTGGGGAAGATGTCACAATTGGTGCTGTGTTTGGGCCTTTCATCTGCCAAAATGACCGGGACAAAAAGAGCCTGGGGCAGCCTAAACAAAAAAACATCTAAACCCCGTGGTGGATTCTTTTCTTCAACGACACAGTCGGCGCATATCAACTTCTGGGACGACGCCAAATTTGTATGAAATTGAATATAACAAATTTGATCAGAATTCAAATGATTTCCTGTTCCAAGCCACTAACAGTTACATAACTGCAATTTAGGAATAAAAATTAGATTTTGAAGTTGGGTTGGATAGCAAAGGGCTTCTTGGAGAAATTTTCAATATCTCTTCATAAAAGCAAATTCAGACTTTTTTTTTTGTTTTAAATTATATTTACAATCAGACCAATTCCTTTTAAAGATTAAAAGTTCTGCTTTAGATTTACAACAGCTGTAAAAATATAAATTTCAGCATTAACAAAACGGTAAGAATGTTAGTCCCAAGTAATTAATGGAGACAATGACAGCTTAGTTCATAAATATAGAAACTTAATTTACACACTGTAAGTTCTGAGTAACTGACTGGCCAACTAAATAGGCATCAATAATGCATAAGTATTGATCATAAGAGAAGTTATTTCTTTCATAACTACATTGGCCAACGATGTAAATCAATAAAGGAGAACAAAAAGCATCCTTGTCCAAAATACAGACAAAACTAACCGATAAAATTGTGAACTAAATTCCAGATCTGTCCTAAAATATAGAAAAAAAAAAAAAATTATTTTAGGTGTTTTTCATTGACACCGATTTGTTTTCTGCCTCAACACGTTACAGGTTATTTGTTTGTTCGTTTTACAGCATATCAACCTCAATGGGTTATTTAATGCTGACAAGATTTTTATTGCTGGTAATATTTTTTTTTTTTCCAAAATGTATTGTTGGTACATTAATTTTCTTCAAAAATTTATTGCTGGTAGTTTTTCCTCAAAAAAAAAAAAAAAAAAAAAAAAAAAAAGTATAGCTGGTATTAAAACCTAATTTTACACTTAGTGTTTTGACCCCAGTTTGGGGGGTTAATTATTTGCCCATAGCTGGGACCCTAACAGGTGCTACCACCCCAGGTCATGGTGGACCTGGGAACACCAGCAATTAAGAGGTGGTTCCATAATTCCTCAAAACCTCCTGAGCAGAGGCCTTGATGTTGGACGTAGTTTATCGTCTTACCTAGGACACTTGTTGCCAGTCAGATTTTTTTTTTTTTTTAGTCAATGATTTAATAGTACTAATTAACCCATAGCTTGGATGCTGGAGAAGTGGATTCATACCTTCCACCAAGGGTATTTGCACACAAGTGAATATACAGAACCCAACTAGAAATAGAAGTGCTATCCGATTAACAATTCCATTCCATTACACCAACCTTTTTTTTTTTTTTTTTAAATCTGAAAAGTGAAAAGACAAATCCTCCTAACTTGTCAAAGAACTGAGGAATTTGTTACATGAATGTGACAGGAAATCAATCAATCTGATAAAATGACTATTTCTTTATCATATTGCCAGATTCAGATCCATATTTGATCTGAACTCTTATCTCAATCACATCTCTTCAGGATATAGGCAATCTGCTTTCCACAGATTGCTTTTTCTTAATATCTGAATTATCAATTTCTTGTGAAAGACAATAGTTTCTGACAGTATTCTACAGAAGGTTCCTTCTCTTAGAGTGGTTGCTACCTAAGGCTATCTAACTCAGTTTAGCACACAAAGAGATGGGTTTATGCCTTTTCAAGAACATGTGAAGGTGAATGCAAAAGGAAAAAAAAATCGGGAATTTTAACTGCTTTTCTATGCTGCTTTTAGGGCTAACAATTACACTACCAGTATATCTACCAACAAGGTTAAAAGATAGAATAAGACAAACTTTAAAGGAGGGGAGTGAGAATCAACCTGAGAAATATAAATATTTGAATATATTTAAAAAGAAGGGTTTTGATCATTGGCACCACCGAGGCTTAGAATAATGCTAATCTGGACATAGTAATCTGGTTTAGTAAATATTGATACATTTACAATAAGGCAACAAGGGAAGAGTGGATTGTACTTAAGGAATGTCTGCTTATAAAACAAGTCAGTGTTCAAAATGCTGTTCTTCAGCTTAAATAT